TTATTGTTAAATTTAATTGTGATTTTATTGTTATTATTAGGAATTGTGATTATATTGCACGCAATAACAATATATAGTTTAATAAATATATGTTACTATAACTTATAGTATAACTAAACAAAATTTTTAATTCAAATTCATCTACCATTTTATTGCAACCAAATCTCCGTTATATTCAAAATCTTTTAATTGGATAATAGGATACGTTTGGCAAACATTTTGTCGCATTATTCTGTGTCTCAAAACAAATACTCTTTAAAAATCCAAATAAAAGACAATGAAATCATTGATTGGTATTTGCATTACAATTCTGTGGACTCTGGCGAGTGGTGTGTCGGCGGAGGGGACCTTCAAAGTCAAAGAGATATTAATCGTTGCCATTATTATCCTCTGCGTGTTCGACGGCCTGTGTCTCATACTCTTGATATACCTGTGCTCGACATCCAAGGGTGCGGCCAATGAGGACGAGACGGCAACGTCCACCGTATCGACCAAAGGGCCAGGGTCTAAAGTGACCAGCAAAGTGGGCAATGCTAAAAGCCAGAGCCCTTCTAAAACTTCCGTCACCCCAAAGAGTCCCCCTAAGCCCACCAGCCCTCCCAAAGCCAAGCCCACCAGTCCCCCAAAGGCTTAAAAATATCTAAATTTTAACCGCAAGAANGGCCAGGGTCTAAAGTGACCAGCAAAGTGGGCAATGCTAAAAGCCAGAGCCCTTCTAAAACTTCCGTCACCCCAAAGAGTCCCCCTAAGCCCACCAGCCCTCCCAAAGCCAAGCCCACCAGTCCCCCAAAGGCTTAAAAATATCTAAATTTTAACCGCAAGAAAGTAGTCTAAAATATTTTGATAAATAAATTGTTTTAGTTTTTGTAATGCAATTGTAATAAATTGTATGATAAAATTTCATATCAAAACTGTTGCTTAATAATTGACATAAATTAATATAAAATTTGATTTATTAAATATTTATTTACAAATCAAAAATTGTGTTGAGTATTGATTCGGTTACAATTACAGTAATTTCATAAAATTATAAAATTAGTGATAATTCATTTCTATATAAATATGAGCTTTAAAATTGAGTTATATAATAAAAGAGTTTCAAAAAATATGGATAAATACAAACATTTTTACAAAAGAGTTTAAACTTTTTAAATGTTGATATTATGAGGATAAAAATAAAAAGTATTTTAAAAATGAGTTGAGTTTAGTAATGAGCAAATGTTATACTAAAATGAGAATTAAATTGCAATATTCTATTGACTTTCACTGAAAGCAAACTTAAGTCTTCCGTTGTGGGCCTGAATTCTGGTGAATTCGTGAACAAATGAGGCATAAAAGGGACACATCATGAATATCATGAGATTCTCGGTGACAGTACTGATCACATGACCCACGTATCCACCGGTTGATTCGTCCCACATGAGTCTCGTCGGACCCCTTAACTCACTATAGGGTATATTGACGTCAAACCACGACAATATCACTGCTGAGATCATAATTATGCCAAAAATAGTGGCTATTATGGCACAAATGAGCCTAAATCTGGCGATTCTTAATGAGTTAACAATGGGAATGAATTTGTATGAAAACCAGGTTTGGATTGTAAAGTAAGCAATTGATCCAAAAAATGCGGGGAAAGCGCCGAAAATTAGATGGATTTCCAAGTGTTCGGTCGACCGGAAGGCCGCCACCATTGAAATGCTTAGCATTACAAACACTTGCAAATAGAGACCGTATTTATTGTATTTAGTGATCTTGGTCATATCGTTCTCATCAATTGTTAAGCTATTATTGTTATTATTTTGGTTTGGTTTTGGCATATTGTGCACAATATATCGGATTTGCTTGAAACGGATCCAACCCATCACTGCAACTGTATATCAGATATTAAATCATTAATACTAATTCATAACAAACAATTTTTTCATTAATTTTTTATGTGAGGGTCACTTTTAGAGGTCATTTTGGAGGACTGTCACATAAATGGTTTAAAATCTGTGATTATTTTATTCAAGTACTAGCACAATGTACTAGCACAATATTAGGTCCGGTTTAGTGCATTTTCAACTTTAAATATAAAAATCAAAAATCACAAGTTTGTTAATATTAGACAAACTTATTGTATGCTAAATCTGTATGATGCGATTGTGATTCATAGCTGTATAATTATCAAGTTAGCTGTAGTTTATAATTGATCACTTTTAATTTCCCTAAAATATTATCAATAGTAATTGAATATTATTAATTCATAATAAATAAGTAATATAGAAAATTCCTTGGTATAGAAATAAACATAAGAGATTATAAATAATTGATTAGCGTTCAAATGCTAAAATATATTGTTTTTTCAATTATAATTTATAAAATCTTTTTATCCTTGAATTTATCTCAAAAATTTCACGTTTTTGTATTTCATGTTAAATATTTCATAAACTTTAAGTACATTTTATGATTTTGTGCTTTCATTGTGTTCTGAGAATTAAATTTCATTTCCATAATAAAAGTTATTATAATTAAAAGACAAAACATATGAAAAATTTGTACAAAAATATAATACTGTATAGAAATTAAGTATCATACATTTCTAGTACAATATGTAACACAAAAATGTAAAGCAAGTTGAGGACAACTGGAATTGCCAGAGATTTAAACTACAAAAAGCAGTACATTATCGCAAACCCATACCTGTCACACAACTAGATTTCATGTGCAAATGGTATGAAACCTTACAACCCTCGCAGACTTAACTACGGTATTAATATATTTACTTTCAAACAAACTCAATAACACCTGAAAATGTGGTCAAAAGTAATGGTATACTCACTGAGAAAGCCCTCTAAATATAATAGTATGGAGAAGAAGGCCGCCTCCGGATGTGTGGCTCCGGCATCACTGATGTACGGGAACACTGGCTTCACGTGTCCAT